GGCCCTACAGGGCACAAACCCGCACGTTTGCCTGCCAGGACCGGCCGTGAGGGATTGATTTGGGGACGTGTTGTTATGGGTCGGGCTTGGGTTGCAGGATGGTTTGGTAGGGCATGTGATAGTCGCTTGTGTGATTGCGTTTGATGGGCTGTTCGGTTTATATCAGGGTGCTGCTATCATCCATGCCGTATGGTGCGCATGTGTTTCTGCGATTGTTTGTGTCTTTGCGTGAGCAAATCCATACCGACTCTAGATCAGACGTGCTGGTCGCCCATGCTTCCGTGTAAACGATCACAAAATGAAATCGGGAGAGAGCTATTAGCGTATTATTACTTCAAAAGCAGAGAACCATGCACAGGTGCGCCAAAGCGTTCACCGTCGCGTTTCTTCTTGCGCACACCTGGGAAGACGCGAGCAGCAGCCTTGCGGCCAGGGGCGCATCCTGTCAACGGCCCGGGTGTATCACTATTTCTGCACCTTTTGTTGCACAATGCGTGTGTATACCCTCATCGCCGGCCTGCTGCTCGCTCTGTCAGGTACGTATCAGGAACAAACGAAGGCAACGACACACACACCGCTCCCACGCACCGTTGTGTGTCTGCAGCGCTCCTGTGCGAGGCCCAGCAGCAGCAGAAAACGGCCAGCGTTCTTGACGTCATTGGCGGCATCCCCCAACTCAGCACTTTCTCATCGTTACTCCGCTCGACTGAGCCCCAGCAGCAGCAGGAACAACAGCAGTCAAGACAACCTGCAGACGACCATGCCAACGAGTCGAACGAAATCGCCACCTCTGCTGCTGCCGCTGCTGCTGCTGAGGTGACGACTGCTCCTCCAGGAGCAGCCGCCGAAGACGAGCAACCACCCAGTGACTACGTTGCTGCGGCAAAACCGAAGCCAAAGCAAGGGGCGGAAGGCAAGAAACCAACCCAACCCAAAAAGGGCAAAGGCAAGGGCGCTGCGCCATCACCTGGGCTCGGAGGACCGCCACCCCCAGCGGACGGCCCTCGTCAGCCGAAAGACCAGCAGCAGCAGCCGAAAAAGCAGCCTCCTGTGACCGCGCCAAAGGGCGGCAAGGGCAAAGGGAAGGGCCAAATGGGTGGAGGGGAGGGCAAAGCGCCCTCCCCTGTTGGGCCTAAAGGTGGCCCGAAGGGGAAGCAGGGGCCGCCCAAGAAAGGTGCCGGGGACGGCCCGAACCAAGACTGCTCGTCTCAGTGCAAGGTGGGCGCAACACGCGCAACACGAGAGAGAGTGGTGGGGCCATTGGCTGTGCTGTGTGTGGTGGTGTGCAGGAGTGCATCAAGAGGCGCACTGAGGGTGTGATAGAGCATGCCGCGCAGGAGCTCGTTCACTCGTGCAGGAGCGGCGCAAGCACCAAGGCCCCGTGTCTGCCGGTGTTCCAAGGAAGAGGTGTGGCCTGCACGCACAGAGAAACCTCTGTCTTCCTCCCTGCTTTCATCTCTCTCTCTTGTGTGTGTGTGTGTGTGTGTGTGCGTGTCTGTCTTGGTTTGGTCAGCTGCCGTGACGCTTGGCATGTTGATGTTTTGGAACCCCACCAGTCTGGCGACGGCCTTCTGCGCCGGCAAGGGCGTGTGCGGTGAGGGTGAGGGCGGCCAGTGCAGCGCCAATATGGGCGCCGACAACGCGGCCTTCTTCATGGACGGGCTCATCGACGTAGCCACCACACCACACAGAGACGCGTTTGCTGGTCTGGCTGCATGTCTTTGTATGTGTGTGTGTGCGCAGATGGTCCTGAGGCAGTTGAACAAGTAGCGTGGCGTCGGCACACAAGGATGATGGGCCATATGTGTGTGTGGTGCGGCCAATGCCGCCGCAGGTAGAATGACTGACTGACTGACACACACATAGTGGTGGAAGGTGGGTGGCTTGGTCGGGCGGTCGGGGGTGCGGTGGTGTCTGTCTCTGCGCCGTGTTGTGTGCATTATTGTGGTTCTTTCGCTCTGACTCATGGCCCTGAGTTTTCTGTCTTGTCTTGTCTTGTCTCGTCTCGCCAGCCACGTTTGTGTGCCTGCGTTTTCTCTCTTTGTCTGTCGGTCTGTCGGTCGGTCGGTCTGTCTGTCTGTCTGTCTGGCTTTGTGAGTATGTCGGATCTCTTCTCTTCCCTGTGCAATTCTCTGCGCCCGGTGGTGTGTCCAAGGAGCTCCGATGCAAAATGAGAGACACAGAGAGATGGACGTATCCATCACATCCATCAGCTGCATTCAACGTACCAATCGCAGTCAGTCAACCAAAAAAGTAAGCGTGCATCGATGTACGCACATACACAGCAAGGAAGTCACGCCTGCAGCCTTCGCGGAGGCCAGTCCGGCCGGGACCGCTCCTTGCGAGCTTGAGGAGCGATCGTGTAGGGCCCCGTCCCGGGCCCCGCCTTGCCTCTCCCTCCCCTCATCGGAAACGGGCAAGCGACAAAGCAACAAGCCGATAGCATTTTTCACATCATCACGATAGTAGTCATCATCCTCAGCCAGAGACTGACGCCAAACTGACGCAAACACACGGGCGTGGAGCGTTGACGGGTGGAGGAGTGAGTCAGACCCAGGCTCCATAGAGCGGCCAACGTGCGGCCCCTCGAGAGGTGTCGCCCATCAGGTGTGCCGCGTGAACGGATGGGAGAAGCATGAATGAGGTCGCCTGTGTGTTGCAGCACTGAGCCAACTTGAAGCAGCATCCGTCGACTAACGAGAAGAGCACGATGGCTGTTCGGCTGGGAACGTTGAGGAGGCAGTCACTGGCCATGATGGGGAGGTCATCGTTTGAATCATCGTTGGAGGAAGAAACGCCCGTAGCGGAGCCCCACTCGTGGGATGAGGACGACATGGACCAGCTCGTGGCCATTCCGGAAACACGGCTGTCGATTGGGGGCCTACAGCGGTTGCAAACAGGTAAAAAGAGGCGCTCCAGAGGCTCAGTGCGCGGCCTATGCAACACTGTGTGTGTGTGTCTGTGTGTGTGTGCGCAGGTGTGCGTGAGGAGTTTTTATCCGCGTTGGAGTCGGGAATGGTCAAAGCCGATCCAGTGGAGATCCAACGGGCCCTTTCCATCATTTCCAAAGTCTGTCTGTCTGTCAAGCAAAGACATTAGAATCTCCCCCTTGAGTCTCTGATATCATTTGCTGTGTCCCTTGTGCTTGGTATGGGAAGCTCTCGTCCATCCGCACGGGCTCAGTCTTCGTCGCGCGAACGCATAGATCTGGGTCTGCAGCGACGGGTGGCGGAAAACTCTCCACCCCTACCCACCCCTCTGGCCGACCCTCGGTGCTGAGCAGAGGGTCGGCCCCGTCAGCTGGGGGGCAGGACACCGGTCCCTCATGGCTGTGGGACGTTGCCACGATCAACAACGTGTTTGCATGGAGCCTCATGTCACTCGTGGCGATCATGGCGCTTACGTAAGAGAATGATCGAGGGAAGAATGCTGCGGCAACCATCGTGTGCGCCTATGTGTGTTGTCTGCAGGTATGCATACAGTGAGGTACGCAGCGCAGCTGCGGTGAGACACACACGTTTGCCATTTGCGGTGATGGATTACTGCAGCACCTGGACTACCTGCTTCCTGATGACGAGGAGAGCTCGGTCTACTTGAGCGAGACGGACCACCTGGAAAAGGAGATCGAGCGGAATGCCTACAAGAAGGTCGGCCCTCGGATCGCCCATCACATCCATCCATCCATCATGGAAGGCACATGTGTCTTCTCTCTCCTGCGTCCTTACTACAGAGTGCGTATGTGCGCTTGGGTGCTGCTGGGAACCGCTTCTGGTTCAGCAGTGGGTGGATCTGCCTCTGCGCGCTCGCCCTCGCCATCCTGTACTCACACATCATCAGATGGAAACAGTGCGTCGAGGTAAGGACTGCGCAGCCCGTCAGTCTGTCTTCACTGCTCATGTCGTTGTCTGCCTGCCTGCCTGCCTGCCTTGTTTGCTTACTTGGGTGTAGTACTGGAACTTCAAGTAAGCCTGACATGCATAGTGGCGGCGCAACGGCATAACGGTGATTCTTGTGTCTCGTACGTCAGGCGGTGGAAGGCCACACTGGATGTAAATCGATGACCGGCGGATGCAAGACATAGAGAGAGAGAGAGAGAGAGAGAGACTCTGGCCAACAAAGCTTATGCTCAAGCTCTTGGTTGTGTCGTGCGGCTGCTTGATGCTTTGCAGAAACTCAGCCGACGCATGAGAGAGGGTTCGATGATCAGTGAGTCGGCCAGGAAAGCCCGTGAGAAGCGCCTCCTCTCGCCGAAAACCGCCTCTAATGCCACGTCACCCCACGCCTCTGATCGAACGTTACCCGAGGAGACCACCACTGGGAAAGACAAGTCACGAACGCCTCGCTGTCTTCCTCCCAATGACACCGACGCCGGGGTAGATTGTACGGGAAGCACACACACTCGCTCTGCCTTTCTATCGTCTGTCTGCGTAGGCAGCTGAGACGGTGCAGCCTTCGAAGGAGGACAGCACGACATCCACGGCCACGAGCGGCCGGATGCGGCAATTGTCGGACGCTTGGATCAAAGCGCGCAACTTCGCCTATGGTGTGTGGCTGGTTATTGTGCGCAACGGTAAGTGCGTCTGTGAAAAGTCACCGGTGCACCCTGGCCGCCATCTGTGTGTGCATGTCTCACAGTGGGAGTTACCGGCAAACTGTTCTGGGTCAACTACAGTGTGCTTGAGGTGCGCTGCTCTCTACTTGTCCATGCGCGTGGATAAGGAACACACAAGTGTGTATCTGTTTGTGCAGGTGGGTACTCTTGTCCTCCAGATCCTCAGGATGATCAGCTACTGCGGCTTGGAGCTCTTCCCTCTCCCAGTGACCGAGATCCCTGCCGCGCCTGCGGCGGTGAGTGCCGTTATCGCCCAAAGCGAGTGGACTCTGTGTGCGTGTGTGTGGCCATAGGTGTTCCTATCGCTTGGCGGAATTATAGGTTCGCAGCACGATTGACACTCAAGCCAGTGAACGATGTCCAGACCATGTCTCTGCTGGTTGTGGTGTGCAGCATCTCACGCCCTGGTGTGCTGAGCTGCCCCAGCCCACCTGCTGCACAAACTCCTCTGTTGCATTCACTGTGTATGTGTTGCTTCATTATGCCTGCAGGTTGTCGCTCTTCTCTGCTACACGAGCCAACGAGGATTTGCCATCTTTGCCTCCATTGTCCTCCCACTGCTGTACGCCCTGAAGTGCACTTTCCGCCCGCTGCGTTAGGATGAGCATCATTTTGTGTTTGCTCTGCAGGTATGCCCTGCACGCTTTCTGTGTCGCTGGGAGCTTCTTGCAGACGCGTGTCTCTTGGAACCCTTTCTCGCATGCGTCGCTTCTCGGGTTGAGGTCCACAGGCATTCTGTGGATGCTCTCTTCAGTGATTCCCCTCCTTGTCGCACTGTGGTGGGTGAGGGGATGCAAACTTGCAACGCAGGCAGGGAGAAGGCATGTTTCGGGCTGCCTGTCACCGCAGGAGTTTGCGCACGCTTGACGCCCTTCTCCTTCTCAAGGCAAGAGACGCCTCTCTGCCGAAGACTTGACCGCCTTTATCTCTGCTTGTGCGTCTTATCTTATCTACAGGGCAGCTACTCATACAAGGCCCGGCAGAAGCGACGAGTGGCCGACTTGCATGTAAGTGAGCCAAGCGATGGTTCTGAAGCCTTTTGCAAATTCACCTTTTTGGCTGTTCGAGGGCAGCTTCAAGAGGTGAACCAAGCCATAGCGGATGCAGAGGCTCAGAAGGAGTCTGCGAAGCCAACACATGCGTTGACGGCTGTGATGGAGGAAGGCGAGGAGGGAGGCCCCACGGAAGAAGGCATCTCAACGGCCGACGCGGCGCTCTCGCTGCCACGCCCAGAGCAAGCGGGCGAGCGGCCAATGCTCCCCGTCCTGGCGACTAAGCCCTCTCTCCGTTCTGGCATTACGTTCTACGAGCAATTCCAGGTATCCATCTTTGTTGATGACTTCGGTGCTGGAATTAAACTGTCATCATATACTCAGGAGATTGGTGGCCAAGAAGCGGGGGGCGGCTCACCGGCAGTGTCACTCACCTCCAGCAAACGACAATCCCGCGAGTCGAGACCGTCATCCACGGCCATTCGCCAGTCCATCTTTGCCTTTTTTCGAAAGCCGACAACCCAGCTCCAGAGCTCAGCCCAATCCCGTAGGCAGACGGGGGACAGCAAATCGGGCTCACGGAAGGGATCCAAGAGAAAGTCGAGCCTTCAGAGGTACGGAAGCGAGCATGTCGTATTTAGAAACGATTCGGTGGTTTTGCTTACCGCTCCCTTGTCAGTGGTGGTAGACAGTTGTTCTTTGACCAACTGGGTATGCTTGGGAACCTGGACGACTGGCTCGACACGGATTTCCAGTTCCCAAAAGTGGAGCGGTCTCCTGAAAGACGTTCATCCAGACGGGTTAGCCATGGTGTCAAGCGTGGCTCTCAGTTGGGACTGCCAGGGGGACAGCGCCCCTCGCTGCTCGCTCGGTTGGCGGTGCCTGGCTGGCGAGACATGCCTCAGCCCGCCCTGAGGAGTCAGCGGTCGGATGTGAGCGACAAGCGGAGCAAAGTGGAGTCGCGGAAGCCAGGGCGGTGGTCAATCTTCTCTACGGCTAGCAGAAGAGACAAGAAGGACAGTCTCAAGTCCATGCCGACCCGCCTCGACGACCTTGAGCTGCAGGAGGAGGGCGATACCGCTGCCGTCGAGAAACGGGTGTCACCAAAGCAGCGGGATCGGGTCTTCAGCGAAAGCCACGCCTCAGTCGGCCGGCGGAGCCAGTTGTCAATCGTGCGTGAAGGTCAGTCCGGCCAGCCTTTCTTTCTCTTGACCTTCACGTTCTCTTCTGCATCTGCAGGCGACAGCCCAATCTGTATCCGCCACGAAGTTTTGCTCCTGCACGCACTGAAAGCGCATCAACCGCCCAAGAACGTCCACACCGAGGAGGACTGCAGCAAGGAAGAAGTGCCCAAAAGAGCGCCACGCATATCAGTTGACTCTGACGTCCCTGAACATATCGATGCTGTCGACATTTTTATCGACATCGATCCGGACCTCCCGGAGGACCAGGGGCGACGGCGCTCCACCAAGCGGAACAGCCTTTTGGACGTGCTAGGAGAGGGCCTCCTCCCGCCGGTACCCGAAACCACACAGATAGCGGCAGACGCCTCACCGCACGCTGCCTCTTCATCTTCATGTGACTCATCGCCGACCATCAGCCAGCGGAGCTCGACAAGCAAGCGTGGCAGCCTTGACGAGGGAGCATCTGAGGAGCAGTCAGACATGAAGCCAGAGATGAAACGACTCCAGTCGATCCTCAAATCTGACAGCAGACCACGTCTCGACCGCAAGGCTACTCGCGTAAGCATCGCCCTGGCCCCATCCGAGCACAGGACCAGCATATCCACAGGGGAGGACGATCGGGAAGACCGCCGGGAGTCCGAGCTGCTTCCGGCCAACAGCGACCTGTCAGCCGCGCGTCAGGGCACAAAAAAACCCGAAGTGAAGGTGCCGATGGTTCGCGTGTGGGACGTGCTCATTGCGAAATGGGTGTCTGCGCTATCGCTCTTGCTTGCCTGGGCTCCCTTCGGGTGGATCATCATGCAGACTGTGAGAGGTATACAGATACCGCGACCCGTCATGGAAGAGAGACACGTACCTATCTGTGTACGTGTGTACATGTCTCAGCTGGATATGTATGCCGTCACCTGCCTGGATTTCATATCTGCACCTATCCGACCTCACCGCCGTTCAGACCGCTGGAGTCGGACTCCATCTTGGGCCAAAACGAAGGCCTCAAGCGGGAAACCGAGGATTTCATCCTACCCGGCTTCCGCATCCCGTCAGACAAGAGACAGACACATGACACAACTAATGACACACATACACACCCTCGTCGGCCCCCTGCCGTGTTTCGTTGCAGGTGTGATTGTCGGGTCATGACGACGAAGGATGACACTGACATCGAAGCATTCAATGCCGCCATCAGCCACTACTCGACGCTCGAGGTTAACACGGCACGGCCCTGGCTGCGGCAGCAATGGCGTGTGGTGTGTGTTGGTGTTCTCTTCGATAGGTGGCTGCTTTCTACCCCGAGTTGGAAGTGAGCCAGACAGTGTACGGCACTTTTCTCGCGCATATCTGTCTCTTCCTGTCTCTCTGTGCTTGCATTAGCATGCGGGCGACAGGCTCAAACACAATGTGACTGAGATAAGCGAGGAGATCGGAAAGCACCTCAAATATCTAAGGCTGGTCATCTGGGAGTACTCTGGTGAACAAGCGCTCGCAGCACCCCTCCATCCGTCTGTGTCACATGGTTGTTTCTTACAGCTGTGAAGGTCCTGCCATCCTCTCTGTTCGAGCTGCCTCTCTTGTCTCGTGCTTACTTTGACTCCAACTTGATCGTGGACCTTCCCAGCAGTGTCGGGGAGGCAAGGAACCTGCGAATTCTGTCGGTGAGGAACAATCTGCTGGGCAGCCTGCCAATAGAGATCACAGAACTCAAGGACACGCTGAAAGTTCTGAACACGGGTCGGCTCAAACACACACAGAGAGACACGCAGCTGAAACATTGAGAAAAAGTGATCTGCCGTTGGTGTGTCTTTGAAGGCATTAACCCGATCTGCTCGTCCGGTTGGCTGACTTTGGATGGCCACTCGTCACAACTCAAAGAAATGATCGCCAAAGTGGACCCTTGTAAGCGATGTCAATCACATTTTTTAGAGACAGACCGTGACGTACACCCTTTCTGCCCCTTCCCGGTCAGGCCGGAGAGGAGAGGAGGAATTGCTCCCTCGAGAGGTCCCCTGCGATGAGCAGGCGTGTCAGGACCTTTTGCGTCACTTCGTAGAGCTCGACAGCAATGGAGATGGCTATGCTTGCCATAGCGAGACGCTGCCGATGACGCAGACACTGGGTGAGACAAAGGGACACTCCACCCTCGACTCTTATTCTACCCGTCTGTCTGTCTATGGCCGTCGGTCCAACGTCATCACTCAAGTGCCATTCAATCTTTGGCTTGACCTTCTTCGCGAGATGCAGTCCCTCGACACCCTCGACATGAGAACATTTGGCTTGACGATCGACCCAGCTCAGGGACCAGACTATCTGGGGTTTGATCACAGCCCCCTGCCTTACCTGTTAATCTCTTGAATGTGTGTGTGCACAGGAACTGCGCCACGTTTAAGCACTTCACCATTTTCGCGACGTCCGGAAGACTCACGTGCAGTGACGACTGTCTCACTTCCCCTCCCCCATAACCACCCGACCCCGACCGACCCACGAGTGGGAACAGAGGGCGGGAGGGGGCTCATTAGGCCTTAGAGGTATACATAGGATAGGCCCGTTGAATGAACGCAATACATGGCTGCCTGCCTGCCTACGACGGACGTCTGCTGAGTATTTTTCGTCTCTGTCTGCGCCTTCCTTTGCTGCAGTGAGTGCGTGGCGCGTGTGTGTCTGCGATTGGCCGTTTTCCCTTACGCTTCGCTCCTCCGAAAAGGCTTTGCTTGCTTGTGGGGGCAGTTCTTATTTCTTGGCTTTAAATATATCGACTGACCACATACACTAGCCGACTGGTGTCTGGGGCGCGGTCCATCTGTTGTGGTACATATTTGTAAGTCATGCGCCAGCCTCGGCTTCTGTACGGACGGTGGACATCCCGGGGGTCGGTCGGCCTGTCTCCACCATGTGCCGTCTAGTGGTTGCTGCAGTGTTTGTTTGCTGGTTGATAAGCTGCAGTGTTTGTTTGCTGGTTGATAAGCTGTGTGTCACTCACACTACTCAGTGGAATGCATCAGTGTGTCAGTGAGTTGCTTATCGACTGCATATGGACGGATGAGGGAAGGGCGAAAGAGAGAGAGAGAGAGAGTGCGCGTCTGGATGAGGAGTCCAGCATACATATAACTCAATCTTCCTCCCCGCGCACACGCATTTCAGCCCAGCCCAAAAACGCACCTACTTCGGCCGCGCACGCTAGACCCACCGCCACCCACCACGTTCAACACGCAGAAACATGAGTCCGCGCCAGACGACCAATCTCCCCTATCTGTCCATCGCCATGCAGACAGAGACACAGACGGCGGCAACTGACAGAGACACAAATGGATCTGTTTGTGGGCAAGGTGGCATGTGCGTGCGTGCGGCGTCAGTACTTCCTCGCTGTCAGCGTCTCTGGCGCGCTTCTATCGGAACCGATCCAAAACGGGCAAAGCGTTGACAACACCTGCACACGGAGAAGCAAGGGTATGCACACAGATGGGCGGGTACGGGTATGTCTGCGTGCTCATTATGGATGGGCGTGTGTGTACATACATAGTGGTCGATGAGATGCGTCATGGTGGCCATGGATAGGGGCAACGCAAGGGCCACATCCATCCAAATCACCTGCAGGAGGCGATGATACGCACAAGTGAATTTCTGTGTGTCTGTGGCCCAGTGGGAGACGGTGCGTGTGTACCTATGTATGTGTACCTTCTCCAACATGGGAGCCTCTCACGGGCACAGACGAGGAACGAATCGCAGCACTGCACTCATGGGGTTTGTGTCTTCGTGTGTGGACAGAGCTACGCACTGTATGGACGTACCAATCTTCGCTGTCTGACATTCCTACACACGTCCAAGAATCTATGAGAGCTCCTCGTGTGGGCACGCACGTCCACACCGGGTGTGGGGCAGCCGGCCAGGTGGTCCTTCGTCCTGCCCGCTCGCTGTACATAACAATACATAGACCGAGAGAGAATAATATAGGCCGAGGCGAGAACGAATTCCACTATTCTCTCTCGTTGCCTACTGACCTGTGTCCAAGCAAGATCTGGGGCGCGCATGCGCGTGAAGCGAGCAACCCTCCTGCACTCGCCCCGACCGCCAGCATCGACAGAAACGTCCTGACTGACATACACGAACAAGATAAGACCACACGCGACTGACGCACGCCTCCTCGTGTACTTGTGCATGTGTGCTTCCCCACGCGCAGACAGATTATGCATTCGTCAACTTTGCGGAACACCCCAGCTCTGCGTATCGTTCACACACACAGAGCCCCGCCTGCACAGAGAACAAAGGACAGCCAATACGAATGCAGAGATCTGGCAAGATGCCTGCCTGTGCGGTATTGTGTGTGTGGCTCACTCAGTCACCCGGCGATTCTGTGCCTGTCTGTGTAGATCCCATCTGTCCATGCAGACACGTTGACCACCCATCATCCAGAAGCTCTGCGAGCTGAAAGATGCGCCAGCTGGGCAAGATCGGGACCCAAGTCAGTGTGCCACGACTGATATGTGATGCGCCACCCATGGCACGATGTGACTCGCATCGAAGACGGCGGCGGCTCTCATTGTTGAGATTCTGCATTGGACTCTTCCTCGTCCTTGGTCTCGCTTCTGGTGAAGTGGATGGAAGACCAGCTCCGACAGGCACCTCGACTGTGGAAGATCAGTGTGACAAGCCTTGCCGCTGCGATCCATCGCATCCACTGGCGGCCGCCTCCCGCCAGCTGCAGGTCGCTGAGACTACCGATGGATTGACGCGAGATGTGGCTGATGGCGTGTCGGCTGAGACAGATATGCTACACCAATGCAGCGACTGGTTCAGAGTCTCAGCGGACACTCCCGCGATCTCGACCAGTACATCACCGCAGCGCGACCATGCCATATCACCTGTGGCGAAGCTGCAACTGCTTCATAGTTACCGGCCATTCGGGGTCGGTCGGCCATTCGGTGTGGAGCGCGTGATGCCCCGCACATCGATGCGTGGGCTGGCAGGCTTCAGTGCTGCAAACAAGACTAATGGGACAGTGGGCATCATAAATGAGGACTGCATGGTGTGTGAGGATGACGCCCGAGGGCCACTGAGGGAATTCATTCGCTCACTGAACATCGAGATGAGAGGGGGTGCGGCTGCGGCGGTCTTCCGCGTGTGCGATCTGCCTTTCATCGTGTGCATTCGCTTCCGGACGGGGCGCAAGGGGCCTTCAACGAGGGGTGCGATGGGCGAATGGGTGGGAGGGGGCGATGGGATGGTGGACGGCTACATTATGGTGCTGGACGCTGACCATCTTATCTTTCCTCCTGGAGGCGTGGAGCTACATGCATCCTTCTACGACCTGAAGGGACTGCTCGGCGTCGCGCTGTGGAATGTCCCCCTGTACGGCAGGCTATCTGAGAGAATCGGCGAAATGACACAGCTGAGACTGCTCTAGATGGACAAGGTGAATGAATGATACAGCTGGTAGGATAGGCGAGCCGCTCAATCTTTCTTGTCTTCTCCTGATGGCTGCCTGGGGTATCTCAGGTTAGTCTGAGCGGCCAATTGCCTGAGGAAATCGTCAGCCTGCCCGATCTCCGGGGGCTTTACTGAGACGACACACAGCTGGAGGGCACCCTGCCACCATCCTTCCACACGATATTCGGCAAGTCGCTTGAGGCCCTCAGCCTTGTTCGCAACCCACTGGCCTTCACCATGCACTCACTCTTCCACGGACAGGGCGCCAATTCGTCTGCAACCGCCCCTTCCCCTCAATGCACCACCCTGCGGATAGTGAGCCTATACGGCGAGAACATTACGGCTTCACTTGTGGGGGCATTTGAACACTGTGGCTCGCTCGAGGAGTTTCAGATGGTTGGCACGGCCGTAAGGGGCGGGCTGCCGGCTCTGTGGAATTTGCCGAAGATCCACACATTTTTACTGAAGGACTGTGAGAACGTCACAGGCACCATTCCGGCCGCATACGGCAACGCCACTTCTCTGCGAGAGCTGAGAATTTCTAACAGCAAGGTACATAAATGACCTGATCGTACAGCGTGTTGTCCTTTTTGGTGCATGTGTCCATGATGTGCAGGGCATTTATGGTCCTATTCCTGATTCTCTCAATATGCTCTCCGGGCTTCGCTCACTCCGAATCACTAGAACAAGGTCGGTCACTGGAAGACAGAGAGTGCGACGGATCGCTGTATCTATATATCTTCCTTTCAGTGTTGACAAGCTGCCTGCAACACTCGAGGATCTCCAGCATGTGTGGGGCATAGATCTGTCACGCAATCGACTCACAGGCCTTCTTCCGGCGTGGCTGAGCCACATGGATACTCTGAGACAGTTGTGGCTCCATGAAAATGGCTTTCATGATTTTGAGGGTGATTGGCGCATGCCTTATAAGTACGTCAGCACTATAATCGATTTACTTGTGCGTCAACATTCATACCGTCATGATGCGTCTAGGCTGGAGGAACTGATGCTCCAAAACAATCGCCTTTTGCGCATCCCTTCAGGGTGGAGACGTCTAGACAACCGTAAGTGAGCTATATAGACGCGCACACACACACACACACACACTTACACATACGGTACTCGTGCCCTCCTGTTGTTTTCGTTTATCAGTGATGGAACTGTGGATTTCCGGTAATCGTCTAGAGCCGCTCAAATGGGGAGTGCATTCATCTGGTCTTCGCGCTGGAACAAGTAAGGTCGGTGGCCTTCCTGGTGAATTCATAAAACTATGACTTGTCTTGTCAGCTCTGAGTGCTCGCATCGTAGCTGAAATCCTGTCCAATCCGCCTCCCTACTGGCCACAGCTTCAGGTCCTACATCTCGACAGAAACGGCTATAATACGACTGTAGACGAGTTCCTGATGCCCTGGAGGTGGCAAAGCTCTCTGCAGCTCTTAGATGGTGATGTCAACGGCCTTCACGGCTCTTTGACGGCAGATGCGATGACCATTTTTGACTTAGAGCATGTTCTCAATGCTGGGCTCCTCAACACGCCCGCATTCAGGCGCTACAAGGGCTCGTTTATGGCGGCTTATCGGCTGCAGATGAACGCCACGAGTATGAGCATGGTCGTGGGCAACGATGATGGGCCGCCTGCAGTGGAGTCGGCGGATGAGAGTGTCGCTGATGATTCTGATCTGCCTATTGATGTAGAGAAGCTGGATTATTCTGTGACGGTCGATGACCTGTATCCCGACATCAATCTGAGGGCGCAAACGGGATTCGAGGCATTGCAATTCCTTTATCTGGGATTCAATGAGATTGAGGGCATCCACGATGGATGGTATGCCCTTTTTTCACGTCCCTATGCGCGTTAAGATGTATGCTCGGTTTTTGTTCAGGTACAAGGATTGTAAGTGTCACCTTCAGCTTGGACTATCTCTTGAATACAACAAAAATCTGAGGCTTCAGGTGCGTAGAATGTTTAGAGTACTCTCTATCCGATACATGGTGCCTCCTTCCTTCGCAGGTACTGCCACACAACGGTGAACCTTGCTCAGCCCACATAGAAGCAAGCTCAAAATCAGGACTGGAAGCCCAGCTTGTTGCTGATCGTGATGGTGAGAGATCCAAAAGGAGCTTCAGGATTTTGATGTTAGCGATGTGCTCGGTGATTGTGTGTTTGTGTATGTGTATGTGTATGTGTATGTGTAGATTACGGACCGTATAGCGAGTGGCATAATTCTACGCCACTTTTGGAAGTCGAGTCTGATGAGGACCTTTTATGGGAGGTGCATCCGTCCGTGGAGTGCACGAACATATGTAGAAATGCCGTGGGAGTGTATATGTATGTAAGAGGGAAAGAAGAAACTGCATGCTGCTTTTTGCTGTTACTCATATGTTCTGTCCATTCAGGCAGATCCAACAGCAAATGCTGATGTATTGTGTCGCTGCAAGGATGGATGGGAGGGGAGAGGGCTGAACTGCACCAAATGCCCGTCTGGCACAGTGACGATACATGCTCAGGGCATTGAGAAGTGTCAGGCATGCCCTGTTGGCCGGGGTAAGTAGTCGAGCAATTTTTGATATCCTCTGTTATTCCCTGTGTGATATGATATGAGTTGTGTGGTGCAGTTGAAATGAATAATGGTACGGCCTGCTCAGCTTGCGATAGGGGATATGAATACAAGGATAACGTATGCGTCCCATGTCCAGCAGGTAGACAGAAGAACTCTGATGATGACTTGTGTAGCATGCAATGCTCACCTTCTGTCGTCGTTCAGGCACTTACAAGACGGTTCGGAGCGACAGCGTACGGTGTGAACGCTGTCCTGGTGTCCATGTTACATCACCAATCGGCAGCACATCACGAACAGACTGCTATTGCGAAGCACCATACGCAATGTAAGCAGGAATGACAATGCGCTGTCAGTTCTGTTCTCATTCTTCGCTTCTTTTGTTCACAGCGACCATGTGGAAAGGGAGTGCTTCCTGCTTCCAGAGGAGAGCTTCAGATCGATGCCACAGACGAACCGCTCAGGCGCCTGCGACACACATGGCAACGGGACCGATGCGGCCGCCAACAGCACCGACGGCATGCAGGTCACCGACTCTCAGCGTGCGTTTCTGGTGCAGCCGGGCTGGTACGAGCTGGACATGGAGGTGCCCCTACTCGTACCAGTGCTGGCGGCCAGCTCGATAGAGGCGCTCTCAAAAGAGGTCTGCAATCACCACGGCGCCATCATGGAACTGGAGATGTGGCGCGATGAGGCGGGTATCACGGTCCTCCCTCTGGCCAATGACAGCGACCAACCTCTGTTGCTGGGCCACCCCTATCTTGTGCGCGGCATCCCTCTGTCGGAATACACGGCCGGGAATGAAAATCGTACGACCAGTGTGTTGGCTGAGCGGCTGTCGGCGATCGGCAGTGAAGATGTGGCTGGTGAGCTGACGTTGCCGTCAATATTTGTGGATCCTCGCACGAACGTCACCTACCGACAGCTGGCGTTACCGATATCGACGTAGGCAAGCGCGGATTGTAGCCATGGCTGCCTTTCTCACGGATGTGTTATGTGCCTGCAGGTACGACGCCCGTGTGACCCCTCGTCCGGTGATGGTCCGGTGTCCTGTCCCCGAGGCGTGTGAGGGGTCGGACTGGGACGAAACCACACAGATCGTCACGAAGCTCAACAAATGCAGAGTACGAACATGGCACCATACACACCAAGAAGGCCGGTGGATGCGACAGGCAGCCGCACTGGTGTTGTGTGCTTGTTTTGTTCATCGACCAGGAGGGCCACACGGGGCCGCTGTGCGGCAGCTGCGACAAGAAGTGGCGCAGTGTGGGTACGCTCTCCGGATTGTGCAGGAGGTGTGACAACCACGCATTGAACATCACGTCCGCCATCGTGCTGTATTTTATCGTCTTGATCGTGATCTTTGTTGCCACTGCACTCTCGCAGAGGTGCGCCCGCTGATCGCCACACACACACGGCCGACTTGACTGCTCTGCTGTGTGGCTGCATGCGTGTGTTTTGTTTTGTGTGCGTAGGTCATCTGTGTTGCCACGAGCCCACGTGCACGCGATGCTAATCAAGATTGGTGGGCAAGGAAAGACACCGAAAGGGCAGGAAAGCCGCCAGCCAGATTCTCCTGTCTGTCTGTCTGTCTGTGTCACTCACACAGGTCTATACCATCTCACAGCGGTCAGTGACTCACCCAGTCGGACAGCGAGCAAGGACGCAAGTAGATCCGCCTGTGCGTGTGTTTATCACTGTGCGCACAGGTTAGTGCCCTGGCGTTCTTAAGCCTCCACTTTTCCCGCATGCTGCCGCCGGAGGCCATCGAAGTGCTCAGGGGCGCTTTTCGATGGAACGGTAAGTGTGCGCAGCACACTGAAAGCAAGGCTACCGGCTGCATCGTTTGCATGCCGTCATGTGTGTTGGTGCAGGTGGGGTGCCGACGGCAGACGTCACGTAAGCAAGGCTGTGGAAACGACTACAGGCAGGCAGCTTCTCGTATGTTGGTGGGGGTGTTTGGTTCAGTTGGGAGTGTCTTCTGAAGGACGGCGGTATGCGGGGCACCGACGCGATGCTGGCCAGGAGGGCCGCGTGGATTGCACTCCCGTTTGTCTGGTGAGTCAGAGGCGGGGGCGCAGCTCGAATCATGTGTATTCCTTGGTTGGTGTCATTCACGTCTTCATTGCTGTCTGTCCTTTCACAGGCTGACCGTCGCCACTCTGCTGTGGGGTCTATGGCAAATTCTGACTCTCCACTGCAAGGCCTCTAGCCTGTCGCAGCTGTGCTGCCCAGGCGCCATCAAATCCGACACAGAGGACGAGCGAGATCCACGTCAGCAGGAGCAGCCCACCACCCAATGGCCCTTCACGGACAGCTCTGGGCTGCAACAGTCGCAATCGGGCGGCCTCAGCGAGAGGCGGCGGAGAGGGAAGGACAGGTGGCTGCAGTACTTCGTGTCGCCTCAGCTGTGGATTGTGCGCCTCACATTTATCCATCCAAGTGAGCTATACAGATAGACAGACGAGGAGATGGCCCACATACATACCATCCTTTCTTCTCTTCTTTGCAGCTGTGACGCGTCAGCTGCTGGAGATTCTCCCTTGCCGCACCTTTCCCGACATCCCATCTGCCCAGCTGGGCACCCTCCTCCAAGAACCATACCCCACTGTCGAGCGGAGCCTGCTCGACCCGTCCATCATCTGCTACACCGGCCGACACCGCATATTCACCATCATCGCCGTTGTGGGGCTGTGCGTGTGGTCTTTTGGGCCAGTGGTCGCAGCACTGGCTATTTTGCGTTCTCAGCAGCGGTCAGGTCGGCTGTACAGCCGGCAGACGCGCAAGAACCTCGGCTTCCTCTACAACGGCTACCGGAGATCCTTCTACTTTTGGGACGCCGTGTTTGCGCTGCGACGAATACTCACCCTTATCATCGCGCAAGTAGGCGCGTCCCTTGGTGACGAGGTGATCCAGCTGGTGTGTTGGCAGCTGGTGGCCGGCGTATCGCTCATCCTGCAGCTGTGGCTGAGGCCATTCGACGGCCGATCATTCAACATCCTCAACCGGATGGAAGCGCAAGGTATGTAGGCGGGCACCTTGTCGGCATTATGGTCCATCGATTGATTCAATTCAGGTTTGCTGATTTGGAACGTCTCTCTGTGGGCGCTGATGCTTCTCGCGTCGACAGCTGCTCATCCGAATGTACCCCAGCAGCTGCAGCGGGGGCTTGGCTTTGCGCTGGCGGGCGTCATCGTGCTGCTCAACGCTTACCACATCATCGCTCTTCTCTATTACACCATACACCACTCTCTTGGTGAGGCAACCACACAGCAGCCGCTCAAACCACCGCTTTCGGTTGACAGCATCCGATCAGTCACGTGCTTGCGTATATGTGTGTGCATAGATTTCCTGATGACGTCCATCCTGCTCCAGGATCTTCCAGATGAATCAGGGGCGAAACAGAAGAAGAGAGACGGCATCCTCTTCGCGGCAATGCGTCGCGTTGCCTTTATGCTCGGAGACCTGGAGGACAAGAGGCGATTGCGCGGGCCGACAGTGCGGCTCGACGCGGGCGGCAGTGAGCTCACTATCCTCATCGACACAAGCGATGGCGGGGGCAAGGAGAGGGCAGCACCTACGCCATCGGGTACATCTGGCTCACGTCGACCAGGCAAACGATCGCGTAGCTGCGTCGTCGAGGGAGCGGTGGTTGCTTCCTCGCTGCCCCTTCCAGTGCCCATGACGTCACGCAGCGCCCCACCCGCTGCTTACAACGATGTGAGTGTCGATGAGCCCGAGCAGCGGCTGCCAGAGGATGCTCTTTGCCTGTTCCCGCCCTCCTTCGCAGACGAGCCGAGATCGCTACAGCCACTTCCGGTGGGCCCCCATCTCCCCACTGCGTGTCAACCTTCTGCTCTGAGAGGGGACGCCGTTCCCGCAGCTGACAGTCTGCCACCAGATCGGGCACCGAGCCCCCAAATTCCCGCATCCCTCGACTCGCTGCCGGCCAGCCTCATGGAGACCAGCCAGCAGCCAACAGCGACAGACCTCGGGGAGCCGCCAACGGCCGTGCCAACGGACATGTCAGGGCGGTCTGCCTACGCGCAGCGGGAGGTGTGGCGTGGCCTGGCGGCGGTAGCGTCCAAGTCGACGCCACACACGATGCGGGCGGGTCGTGTGGAGAGCGATCGGCGGAAGCGCTGGTGTTCTGAGGTGATGAATCTGACGAGCGAGTCGATGCAAGGGGTAATCGAGCAGGTGGGGATTCAGGCCATTCCCAGCGACTTCGTGGAGTTCCTCTGGCACCAGACTTTTCAGGTGCACAAAGCCAGAAAGAGGACCATCCGTGACCCCTCGACGGGCAACGAGCGGATCGTCCTCCTGCCTTCCCTTGAGCTGAGGGTACGCAACAAACACACACGTATCTATCACCTCTGTTTCCACAGCTTCGGTCGTCTGCCCTCCGTTTACGTGTGTACGTGCGCAGGTGGGCGGCAAGTCGTCACTGCGCAGGGGCTCGTCTTCCTTTGTGGACCTGATGAAAACCATCCAGGAGGAGCCGCTCGCCGACGACAATGTCACCAGAGAAGGCATCCCATTCACAGACTTCCAGGTAATATTACAAACAAGCACCAAGAGTACCCCATCTGTTCGGACACGTATGTATCAGGTCCGCATCTCTGTCTGTCTGTCTGTCTGTCTGTCTGTGGGTGGTGCAGGGTAGCATGGCCTTTGTTGTGGATCGGCTGATCAACGCTGGTGCTGGCTGGAAGGACATGTACGCCGCCTTCAGGGCAGCGCGGCAGGCGGACAAGGCCAATGACGGCCTATATCGCCTATCGGGTGACTGACTAACTGACTGACTGACTGACTGATATGTGTATGCATGCTTGTATAGACGCGTGATATGCGAATGCGCGTGATCTTTTTCGTGGCTTCTTTGCCATCGTACGTCCTTGGGCTCTCCGTCCTGTATGGTTTTGCCGCGCACACGTGCTTCCGTTCTGTAAGGATGCAACGCGAGCTGCTAAGTACGCCAGTCTGTTCGTGTATTTTTGGTCGATGTGCCTTTAGGGTGAGCGAGTAGGGCCCTTTCGTCCCTCCTCGCTGTGCGTTCCATTAAGTGGGTAGTAGGGTGTTGCCTTAGCGTATGTGTGCCGAGGGAAAAGTGGTGTGCAGTTCGGCTGCGTGTGTGTTTGTCGTGTCGGTTGGGTCTGTGGTTTTGACCGAACGATGGACGAAAATCAGTTTGCGCTGACCATTCAGGGTTTTTCACCAAGTGGCCAGAGGTGAAGGTCTTCAAGAAATGACGAGGGAATGGCCCTGCAAACCATGTGCCGCACTGTGGCAGATTATCGTGGTCAATGTGATTTTCGTTGTCACAACTCTGATGGCCATCTTCATCCTCACAGCACTCGCGGAAAGGTCAGCACGCATCTGTGTGTCTATCGCACAAACCCGTCCAGTCGCATCTGTACCTGTGTTGTGTGTTCAGGGCTGCTTCCTCTCCCCGTGCTGAAGTGCCGTCGCAATTAATCAAAATTGGGCTCTACCACATCACAGCCGTACGTGAAGGCATGGGCAGGCACATGCGCTCACCTTTCACAACCTCTTTGCTGTGACGGTGTGTGTGCAGGTGGGTGGTCTGGCCTTTGTCGTGTTCGACGAGTCCCTCGGGAACGACCGGATATCGTCGCTGATCGGGTCGTTTTTCGCGTGGGATGGAGGGGTCTTGCAAAGCTACCACATGTGGGAGCGTGTGCTGAGGCCACATGTGGGCGAGAGATGCGTGCTCTATCGACATGCTTTGTGGCTGGGGCTCCCGCTCGTCTGGCTGACCGTTGTGCCACTCATTGGTGAGGACACACAGTCTGGAAGGAGGTGCTTTGTGGTCATTTTGCCTCGGTTCATGACTGCAGCAAGCGCATTTGACAAAGTGCGTGGTGCATTTAAGTGGAGACGGCGCAGGAGCAGTGACCGTTCGACCTCAGTGAGGAAAAAGTGGTGTGCAGTTCGGGTTTGTGTGTGTGTGTGCGCGCGTGTGTGTGTCGGTTGGGTCTGTGGATTTGATCGGACGAGAGGTCTGCCTATCGATCCGAGGTCCTCTTTGCGTACGTCGACCGACACTCTTTAGGTGTAAGTCAGCACGTCCATCGATGAACGAATACGCTGGTGCGTGCGTCTGCAAGAGCATCCATCCGCCATAGATGTACCTGTCTGCCACACACTACTTGCTGTCTCAGTTTGTCATGGGCCACATATCATTGTGTTGTGTTGATATGGTGTGTGTGGCCTGATTGATGGATGCAGACAATGATAGCAACACCAACACCCAAGGCGCCACGCAGGGCACAGAAGCCCACCCAGCCCACCCAGCCGCCCCACACACAACGGGAACAGCAGCACCCACCCCCACACAAACCGCCCCGCCGCCAGAGAGAGCGAGGCCAGCAGTGCCACCGCCAGACCCGGGTGGTGAGGAGGGTCAGGAGGGCGTAGTCGGTGTTGGTAAGCAGAGGGGGGAGGGGGGAGTGGGGAAAATGTCTCGCGCCCCAGACAGGACCGCTTCACCGTTCTGTAAGCCAAGACTCACACCCCTCTTCTATGTATGTGTGTATGTATCTCTGTCTGTCGGCCTTGTCATGCAGCGTCAAGCAGGAAGCGTTTGAGCGTTCGTTGTCGTCGGAGCGCCGCCGTCGCCCCAGCAGCACTGCGAGCGGAGCGTCGTGTGTGTCTCCCCTGTGTGTCTGTGTAGGGTGTTGTTGGGGGCGTACGCTCTCTGGGAGCCCGACAAGACCGCAGGCCGCCCCGTGCAGTCATCGCAGCACTAGAGCCACAAGGACATGTTTATGCGTTGTATTCTCTGCGTTCATTGCATCACGCAGCACACAATAATATTTGCCGAGGACGATATGATGATCAGCGGGCGCGACCGGCTCATGCGGCGACAGATGAAGATACAGGAGAAGGAAAAGGCGGCAAGAAACCCTTTCAATGAGGTGCGCGCGCGCATAGCAGCCAACAACCACGGTGCTTCCACAACCTTGTCAGGATATCGCATACGAGGTTGGTGGAAGCGGACCACACTCCCTTTTCGGGCAAGCTGGCCGTGTCGGGCGGACCCACGGTGCAGGGAGGGGAGGGACGCATGGGAGACACACAGGGACATGAGTAATGAGTTTGACCTAAAGGGCGGGAATGAGTAAGGAATGACTAATGGTCTCCAATGTAATGAATGAACGATTGAGTGAACGTCACGGCATACAATATAGCGCAGACGAGTGGCAGAAAGAGCTCCTGTGCGGGAACAATCGTGGTTGCATCTTGAGTCTGTCCACACCCCGACATCACAGATCCTGCGCGTGGACACTATGATACGAGAAGCTCAGGCGTCACTTCCTCTAAGTTGATGAGGAGACCCATGGCGGTCGTCGACCGAGTGACATCATGTTTCAAAGTGTGTGTGATGGTCCCATGCAGGCAGCACACAGACGCTGCATTGCTCTCGCAGATCAGCAGCACAGACAGCAAGCGATAGTGTCAGAACTCGGTGCACACGTCCACTCGCCGGCAATGTCTTGTCGTGCTGACTGACCCCTTCATATATCCCGTCAGAAGTGTCAGAAGCTCGTGAGACGCGCACACACCACACCACACCTCACCACACCAGTGACACCACCCACGCACTGGACTGCTGTCGTCAGTGAGATGATGTCGACGCGATGGTCCCACTGAATCTCTGCGCTGTTGCTCTTTGCTCTATGCCACCCACACCACACATCAATCAGCTCACCGTACGTAAGTGAGATGGATAAGTAAATAGCCCATGAGAGGCACCCACATGACCCAACCACCCACACCCACCCACCCACCCACGTGCAGATTGCTCGCCCTCACGTCGGCGCCAACCAAGAAGACCACAACAATGTCAGCATCACAACAATGTCATCATCCGTCTGGTCGAGCCGTGTGCCGCGACGCTGCCGCGACGCGACGGCACGAGAGCCAGAAGGACTGCACATATGAATTACTGCACTGACTGCATCTATGGATTTGTCGGCATGTGTGTGTCGAAAACCTCAAGTATATATAGAAAACGGACTGACGGTTTGTGGTGTCCGTCCCAATGGCTGGCCCGGCCGGCCGGTCGGCCGAGTGAGTGGGTGAGTGAGTGAGTGAGTGATCGGCACCGGTAGTCCAGTAGAGTCGATGAAGGCATCACACACGTACATGTAGCAAAATGGTTGGTTGCCCAAGATAAGCCTCTTAAGACACAAGCCACCCACCCGCACCCCACCCGTCAACCCCACATGTGCACCACACGCAGGGAAGAAAAACAAACAGACAGACAGACAGAGAGAGAGACCGACAGGCAGACAGACAGGCAGAGAGATAGGCAGCACTTCACGGACAGACGAACGGGCGCAGCAGACAAGCGATACAAGCCACCTACATGTCACCACCCACCAGACAACCCCTTTCGCACCAGCCGTTACGACAAATATGCACGCAGTAATGCTAGCCAGTCCATATGGTGAGCTGTTCGAGGGAAAAACGCCACTCCATTCACCAGCCAGGCAGGCACAGGCAACTGACACCCCACCATCCCATAGATCTGACCGATCGATCCCATTCAAATCGTTCCGCCTTTTCGCCCCCATCGCCCCCCTGCACTACGGCCAGAGAGACAGACAGACAGACATCAGTCCCTTCGGGAATGAGTGAGTTAGTGAGCGAGTGAGTGAGTGCGGAAGATAGAGTTCCGTATTTGAGGGCGGTCCCACCCGCTCTGTCCTGGGCGCACGGCACACCCCATCAACTCCCTCACCCCTCTCGCACGTCACGCACATCTTTCTGGAAACCGACCAAACACGACGAGCTCATCGGAGGCGCACAGACACACACACACACACACACACAGCAACATACCCGATTGCTCCAATCGCTGTGCGACGGACGGCACGAGAGCCGCACAGGCTGGATTGATTTACCACTGACCTTGCCATGCACGCTTTTGGTGGACATAGAAGCGGCCGCAACTGACCTCACTCACTCACTCAATCCATGCAATACTTAGATAAACACCGGTGATGGCCTACCTACCACCGCCCCCTTCCCCCCCACCCATACACTTCGACGACTGGCGGCCGTGTTGTGGGCCAGTCGGGCCTACGAGCATACAGACAGACAGACAGACAGACAGCCATGAGTCCCTTCGGGAATGAGTGAGTAAGTGAGCGAGTGCGGAAGATAGCATCGTGTATACGAGGGCTGTCCCACCCGCTCTGTCCTGGGCACACATCTAAGAGCTTCGAGCTTCACCTCATCAATCGGCTCCCTCCCCCCTCTCGCACGTCACACACACATCCAGCCGGGAGGGAACCGACCGACATGGCGAGGCCAACAACAAATCAATTGTATGCCACGTGCAAGGTGCACACAGAAGCGGCCGCAACCGACTGATGGATCACTGATGCTCACGCAATAATTAGAAAAACACTGTGGATGGCCTA